AACAGCCCACCTGAGGGTGACCCTTCAGAGCCCACCATAGAGTCTATATGGTGGGCTCTGCAGGGTCACCCTCAGGTGGGATCTCAAGTGGGCTCTGCAAGGGGCATAACTAGAAGTCACAGGGCCCCATACAAAATTTTGCTATGGGGCCCTGTGATTTCTAGTTACGCCCGTGCTTGGAGCTTTTCGATTCAGATTATTTTAAATCCACTAAACCAATTCAAATATCTAATATACCGTAACATGCCAAATAAAAAGAACATCAACGCTAGATGTTTTGGACAATCCTTTTTTGGGTCCTTCACCATTCCTACTAACAAAATCCTATCTAAAATATTGAGTCAGGTCTCCACAAAAAAGGAAATTAAAAACAAATAAACAGCGACTTTGTAACCATCATCAACCACATTACAAAACAATATACAAAAAACACATATAAATGAGCAGAAGGCATATGAAAAAAAGCAAGATGAAAAAATAAAAGAAGTTCAACCGAAATTAATATTCATTATATATGATAAAATCTCTCTATCTCTCGGCTCAAAATGTCATGTCCTGAGCTACTAGCCAGGCCTTAAGAGTTACTCGCCACCAGTTGCCCCACCTAACCCTTACCCGGCCCTGGCCTTAACTCCGCCCCTAAACACACCCTCTTATATAATCTTATGATAATTCTTATCTTATGATAGTTGCCGCTTGTAAACGGCAGAAATAGGGATTCCATCCATCTGCAGGAAAATGCAAGTTCATGACGCAGGATTCCCTACTCACAACTCAAATACTGTATACTGTAGGTGTGAATGGGGTCTAATATACACATACACTAAAACACAATAATACACTTCTCAACGTTACCCCGCCCCCCACCTCCGCACAACTATAAATGTCAGCGCTCCGGCCGAAGGAAGCTGGAGCTGACAGGAGCTACTCTGCGGTCTGCATCCGATACAGATGCAGACCGCGGAGCTACTCCCGCAAGTCAGGTACGCGGTCTGCGACCGCGTGCCTGACATGTCGTCTGGCTGTAGGCCACAAAGTACCAGCTCACGGGCTGGAGTTGGCCCGCGGACCGGTACTTGGAGACCAAAATTTCAACTT